AGGCTGTGAAGAGGACTGTGAAGCAACATGTACAAGAAGCAATACTCTAAAAAAAATACAACTTGTCAAAACAAGGCATTCCCTATTTCTGCCTATCGGTGGTCAGATGTGGAGTTGATTGTTTATTTTTCCACCTAAACGTCAGTAGGGGCATTTGCATCAAGCTCCAAGCCTAAATTTGCTTAAATGAGCCTTTTAGAGCACCACTTAGCCCCTTGTTTAGGTTCCATTAAAATCAAATATTTTAAAAAAAAATTGAACAGTAATTTTCTGAAAAATTCGTAGTTAAAAAAGAATGAAAAATTTTAAATTAATGTGTAATATTATTTTATTGTAAAATGTTTGGTAAAAAAAATGTATTTTAAGTTCTTTCAATGAAGACAGTCAAGGACATGGGTCCCACGGTGTTAGGAACAACCGAACAAGAAAATTTGAGGTTTTTATAACGGGGATCAAACGTGCTTTCATAAATAAATAAAAGTGAATAGTGCGATTCGTTCAAAGATGTGATGATGAAGATAATTTATAAATTATTTATATATTAGCAAAATGAAGGCTTTCATACTGTCTACTCTCACTTGACATCACAATCATCAAATGAGCAAATAGTAAAATCAATCACTAGTTTTCAAATCATAATATTTTGAAGTCGGAAAATCGAAACGAATGGCATCAAACAAGGGATAAAAGAGGCTCTCTTTTTGCCTTCACTCGTTAAGTTAAATTTTTTAAGTTAAGCAATTGGTCACGTATAATTCTATCTTTCTCGAATGAGTAATGCTATTCATCCCCACTGGGGATGAAAACACAGTCTAGGTGACGCTAATGTGACATTAAATAATAGGTGAAATTAAATAAGTCATTTAATTTCACATTTAATTTCACCTATCATTTAGCGCCACCTAAACTGTGTTTTTATCCCACTGAGGATGAATAGCATTACTCTTCTCAAATCTCTACATGAAAATTCTATGCAGCGAAACATGTACAACTTAAAAGTGTTAATTTACTTTATTCAAAAGTTAAAATTTTAAAATATGAACACGTTTATTTATTCACATCAATTATCCATGGATTTGTTAGGTGCAATTATGTGATAAGTAAATTAGTATCGTTTGATCACCAGTCTACGACTAATGAAACTTTTAGGTAAAACTTTGAAAATATTGAATTGTCAATTCACCGACTGCCTTTACAAATTTCATTTTCCAAACAAACATCGCAATCACAACCAAACGGTTGACTATCATTTATTTATATGATTTGATTATTTCTCTTATTATTTTCTCTTGACTTTGAGGATTAACACGAATTTTCTTCTGATTTCTGCCACCGACGTGCATATATTAAGAAATATGAATTTTTTATTGGTGATTATAAATCATTTTCAATTTAAAAATATCTCTAATGAAGATTAAGTGAAACGTTGCATTCGTTGGATTGATTTTTTCCTTGTGCACGAAACAAATTCGAAATATGATGAATGGGAAAGAAAAATTATATAGTCCTCGTCCAGTTATAATTAGTAGAATATTTGTATTTTCATGATCATCTATAAAACAAAGCTCGGTTAAATAGAACGTTACGTCGGTTGGATTAGATTTTCAATGTGAACAAAGCCGAATTCGATATTTGATGAATGCGAGAAAAAAATTATATAGTCCAACATTAGCCCCTGTTTGGTCCGGATTAAAATCCGATTTTAATCAAAGTCAAAGTCAAACAATCAATATTAACCACATTTTTCATGGGTCCCACAACTTTTCAACCACACATTTCAAAAACTTCTATTACAATCTACTCAAAATCTAATTTTAATCTCCACCAAACGCCATTTATAATTGGTAAAATATTTGATTCTTTGAGATTATCTTAGAAATACGACTCTAAAGTGAAATGTCACATCCGTCGTGTTGTACAATTTTTTCATGTGAACAAAACAAAATTTTTGATGTCTGATGAATGGGGGAGAAAAGTTGGGCAGTAGTCATTGACATCATATTTGGTAGAATAATTGTTTCTTTAAGGTTATTTTCAGAACAAGATTCAATTAATTGAAATGTCATACCTGTTCTATCGTGCAAAATTTTTCACACGAACAAAATCATATTTGCTATACGAAGAATGACAAGAAAATTTGCATAGTCTCGTTGACGTCATTATTAATAGAATATTTGTTTCTTCAAGATTATTTTTGAAGCAGTACTTTCGTGTGAACAAAATCAAGTTCGACATTTGACAATCGAGTGTGAGAGAGAAGTTAAGTCCTTGTGACTTTTTGCAAAACATCAATTATGATAGACCTTGTGATATATAATTGGTAGATAAGTTATTATTTCTAGATTATTTGTAAAACAAGATGTGGATAGACATGATGTCACATTTGTTGTCTCGTGTACTATCTTGTTACTATCCCATGGCACAATCAATTTACATGTACATACTATAGAATACTTCAGCATATCGTAATGAAATTAGTAGTAATGTGTGTGAAATATTCCGATATCGTACCATAAATTTCCTTTTAGAGTTGAAATAATTTATCATACAATGGATTCTCGCGTCTGCTAAATTAATAACAAGTTGTCTCTTTATCAAGCAGACAAATCGAACCATAGGAAAAAAGTAAATAAAATTAAAATGTTGCATCTCGAGTACAAGTTTAATGATTTCTATTCCCCACCCCCCCTCCACACGCACTAATCAAAGTCCAAATACTGCTCGTCATTTATAAAATAATTGAGACAGTTCCATCGACATCTCCTATTATTCCAAAACACTCAATTCTCTTCGCCACATTATCTCTGCAGATCAAGCAATACCCGGTGATATTTTCAATTTCCAATAGCCATTCGAGATTTTTTCTAGATTATTCAGGGTTCTTCTATGCTTCCTGTACCCATTGATGATCTGCTTCATTTTGAAAGAATTTTTGGCGGTGAATTATATGAAAACATGTACTTTGGCTGCAGTCTAATTCAGTTGGAAAAATATTGGGCAGTGAAGGGCTTTGCTACTTCATTTCTTTAGTTGGGCACAATTGCTCGTGAGTATAGTTTTTTGAGGGTTTTACTTCAAATGTGTGAAAATTGCTCAAGTTTTGATATCGAGACTAGTTGAAGATAATTGTTTTTATTTATAGGGTTTAGAGAAAGAGAATTAGGGGAAAATGGGATCTGAGATTGGGTTCTACGCTGGCACAGAATTTAATTTGGAACCCAAATGGTTGGTCGACCCGAAACTTCTGTTTGTTGGTCCGAAGATTGGAGAAGGTGCTCATGCCAAAGTGTACGAGGGAAAGTAAGTTGACTTTTATTGTTATGTTTGAATCTTCATTGAAGATTACAATTCAGAAATATAAGCATCAATTTCAAGCTTTTAAGCGTATATTTAACACAATCTTTTGATTGATTTCAAGGAGCACTTTATTAACTCCTCTAAGTTGTGCCTTTTCAATTGTTTTATACGGGGATTTTCGATTCCCATTTTTCTCAAAATACATTTTTCTTTTTATTTCAATTGCACATTCTTCGTTAAAATTATATTACACAGAGAAAAAATTTTCCTTCTTTTTTATCTGCACATTCTCAGTCAATCTACTATTTCAAAATACATTCACCCCGTGATCTCTAAATATCTCTAGATACGCACCTAAATATCTCTAGATACGCACTTCAAAACTTCTATAACTTATCAATATTTCAGTTTCTGAAATGTGAGAACTAATGCATTTCAGATACAGATTTCTGCTGTATAAGGTCATTAGGCTTGGCCGTTGGGCGTTAGCAGTTTTCTTTCATTGCGAACCAGTTAGCTAACCTTTTTTGTTGGCCATCTTTTAGATACAAGAACCAGAA